TAGGATTAACAGGCTACAACGCTGCATGTCCCATGGAGAACTGTAGGCTAACAATAATTTGAATGAACTACTTGTTTCCTAATGGAGCCATTGTGAAGTTTAAAAAAAATCTCTTAATCACAGAGAACAAAAGAGTACATGTACTTACTTTCGCAGCTTCAGCATGCCATTTTTTTTTCAGGAAACATGTGGGGCCAAACGTGGGATACCCTCTATGGAGAACTGGCACCCTTTAAGAACAAAAAACCGGTTGACGTCACAGCAGAGATGATCAAAAAGGTTTGTCTGTTTCTGATCCTAGCAACACTACTTTCGTTAACAGGCAATGAATAGATCCTTAATGAATAGGTAAAATTCAATTTTGACCCACGATTCTTAGAATATAAGTTACACGCATCTGTTGTGTTTGACATCACTGCCACTCAAAATTGGACTTCAGGGAGTGGAGACCTCAAACTGTGCAGTAAGTTCCTAATAGAGGGCTCGAGTTTGCTTTTACTAATGAATTTGAGTCCACTTGACATCAATAACCTTTCAGTGTTACAAAGGGTGTTTAACCTATTCACATTTAATTGATATGGAAAATGACAATCTAGGTAAGAGGACCTCTGCTGGTGATCTGAGAGCTACACGGTTAGGCCCTACATCTCATTCTCTCCTTAAGTTATTTCTACCTATGTGTCTTGCTTTTTCTCTGCACGGCAATTACAATGGGCTTTAAAAAAAAGAATTTAAAATTACTGAATACTACTGCCCACTTTTTAATCACAGCAGGCTTCTTTCAGTTGTACGGTGTGTTACGCTTTTAGTGTTATTCTTTTTTCTTAAACGATAATTTTTTGAGGTTGGTAAGATTGTTATATTACTTTTATACCATACTTAATGCTGTTTTAGCTTTGCATTTCTGGTTAAATAAAGCCTTACATTTCACATGTTAAATAGAGTTCTATAGGCAAAGATAGTTCACTTAGCCAAAAATGTCCGCACGTTGGTTCAGGTGGCGCTGCAGTCTTTGTTTTGAAGCTCTCTTTCGTTTCTCTAGAAAAATAATAGGAAAAGCACAGTTTGTTAGTTTCACTTTTATTGTTTTTCACACAAGTAGGGTAACTCTGATCGCAAAGTCCGCACTTTTTCGAAGAGGGCGTCACCGAATTTTGAGGAACATTTTTTTAATTGGCTGAAAGAGATGAATGAACTAAGCTTATCTCGTTTTATATCGTTATTGGAGTTGCTTTAGCTTTGCACTTCCGGTAAAATGAACCATTTCACTCGTGAAATATAGGCTAAGCTGATACCTCACACACGAAATATAAAAATGTGCATAAATTACTGCGCTCGCTATTTTCTCCTTTTAACCTGTTGTGAGCAAAGTATACACTTGAATCATAATGTTCCTAGACCGTGCACTGTTATGCCAGCCGTTTTTTGCCCTCCGTAAAAACTTCACCGCATGCGCAAAGCTCGCTCACCAAAGGCCCCCAAATGAAGTGTCAAACACCAGTCTCCCTCTGTTCCCATAGTAGAGAGTGGGCATAACTCTCACATTGTCCTTAATTTTGTTCTAAATTGAGTCAAATTGTGCACCATAGCGGACCGGGATTACGTCAGAGTGCGGCAATGTATTTTAGTGCAATGTACAAGCCAAGTCTATGCTAGCACTCGTTCAAACTCGTGATTAATAATAATAATA